AAGCGCCTTCTGCCTGCTCCTGCCACCCCGGACTACTGCCCACCATGGGCTTCTGGGCATCCTCTCGAGCTCAGGGATTTGTAAAAGCAATCCGCACTATAGTATCCTCCCTGGACTATTGCCAGTTCTGGGGATGCTGGTGGGTTTGAGAGAAGGAGAATGTATCTAATGTTCACAGCAGTTTCTTAACTCAGTGTGGCTCGTTTGCATCAAGTATGGTTAGTTATGGAGTGACATGAAGTGGTGGCAAGCCACAGCATAATGACAGAAACTCACTACCAGGAGCATTATCAACACTTGTTAGTGGTCCCCAATCCAGGCTGACTTCACTGCCTGAGGCCTGTTTGGAGGCAAAAATGCCCTCTCCCCTCCAATCCCCTTAGAAAAGTCAGCACAAAACAATTCACCTGTTGAATTTGGGTTTCGTGGAAACACGTCCTTGAGAATGCAGAGGCCTGTGGTTTGGCAGCAAACCTGAGATGGGAAAGAAAGATGTGAGATATTGCACAGTTCCCTTGCAAACAACTTCTAAGCTACAGTATTTTGATGGGAGATCTCTAGAGAGAGCCAAAGGGCTATAATGGAAAGAGCATTCTTCCCACCAGTCAGTACTGAACCAATTAATACCTGAACACAAGTGGGGCACAGTGCTGCTGGAGGTGCTGTATTTGAGATGAAATGTATAATCAAAGAGTTGACCACTTGTGGTCACTAAAGCTCCCACGATGCTTTTGATCAGATTAAGGGGCATCAATCTCTAGAGAGAGCCAAAGGGCTATAATGGAAAGAGCATTCTTCCCACCAGTCAGTACTGAACCAATTAATACCTGAACACAAGTGGGGCACAGTGCTGCTGGAGGTGCTGTATTTGAGATGAAATGTATAATCAAAGAGTTGACCACTTGTGGTCACTAAAGCTCCCACGATGCTTTTGATCAGATTAAGGGGCATCAACATATAGCCAAATTCCAACTCAAGAATTACAATCTGCCTCTTTGAATTCTCTCTGCATTTTAGTTTGGGTATAAGCATGGGTGATCAGGCACAATGGCTAGAGTAAGGAAGCACTAAGAGGACTTGGTATTAATGTTCCCTCTAATTTTTTCCATGTGCAGAATAAATGTTATGTGCACTGAGTCATGTGTGGATGTGCACCACCAGTAGAAACACTTGGGCTCTCCTAATAAGCTGGGCAGCATTTGAATCTCTCATGGGTGGGCGCCCAAACACACAGCTTACAGGGAACACTGCCTGGGATCCATTTCTTATTGACATCTTGCTAGGTCATCTTGAGCAAGTCACCTCCCCCTCTCTCTGTAAAATAATTTGAAATCCTCGGATGAGTGGGTGCTGCTATGTACAAATTGGTGTGTTGTTCCATCACTGAGACGTGAAAAGACAGTTATGTACTGGATCCCACTGACTACATGCGCACCAGAATTTTTTTGACCTGCAGGGTACATCCGAGCCTAAAGGGCAGGATAGCAATTCAAAGTCTACAGTAGCAGAAAGCTCCTATGAATTGGTTTGGAGAGGCAGTTGTAGCCAGTGTGAGTCTCACATCCCAAAGAACTACAGTTACTATTGGGTAAATAACCACTATCTTTTTGGGTATATGCCAGTGTAGAATCCACTGAAGTCAAGTAACTCCTGGGGATGGTGGGAATAAAATGTATCTGATATTTCATCAGTAGATTTCACAGTGCTTTACAAAAGGGCTTTTCCCATTTTACAGAAGGGGAAACTGAAGCAGAGAATGACATGACTTCTCCAAGTCACTCACCAGGCCAATGAGAACAGAACCCAGACTTCGTGAATCCTAGTTCGTTACTCTGTCCACGAGGCAACACTGCCTCAGCAGAGAGCCAGCTGCCACAACGACTGTCATGCTGCTCTTCTGAACCTGGCATCAGACTGAGTCACTAAGTCCAAAGCATAGCACTTGTGGTGTTTTAGATGCTGCTTGTAATTATTAGAACTGGGAGCACAGGAAACAGGAAGAAGGGGGGAGGAGATGGGCCAGGCCTGAGTGAAAGCTACAGAGGGGAGCAGCAGCAGCAGCTTGGTAAAGAGTTTTCACCTTTGTTAAATAAAGACCTGTTGAAGTTTGTTACTACCTTGTTTGCATGATACAACAGCACTTGACCGAGGTCAGTGGGTTACTCTACATGAGAGCTCTGACACTGGCACAGAAGCAAGTCATTTAAGCTCTGGTGGAGTGAGACTTGCTGTTCAATGGGAAAGGTGCAATAGCCAGTTGGTAACAAAAAGAGAGACACTATGTGATCCATTTTGAGCTTCTCTGAGATGAATGGAATGATAGAGGCGTTACCATCCTGAATCGGAGATAACATGCATTTGTTCAGTTTCTTCAGAACAAAGATCAGGCATCCCCTTCCCTCTTCAGGGTAAAAATACAAGTGGAAGCCTCTGCCGATAATCCTGCAGAACTTCTTCTATGGCTTCTGGACAAAGAAACAACATCGCTTCTTTCTGTGACAGGGTCTCATGAAATGGGTTGCTGAAGCAGATGGGCAAGGGAGCAGAATAGCCAGGGACACGATTCCCAATGCTTATATGTCCAAGGTGATATCACTCCAAGAGCAATGAAGTGGGGGCAAGGTGGCTCCTGAAGGCAGTGGTCAGTACCTGATGGATTCTGATGTGGCCCAGGACATTCCCAGCAAATTTGCTATCTGACGGATGAAGAGGAGCGGGTGATGGAGGAGACAGATGAAAGGCACCTCCACTGGTACTGTGAACATTTTTATTATTGGAAGGCTCTGGGAGTAAAGATGAGCCCACTGCCTATGTTGAGGCTGATATCTGTAGGAATCCTGCAACTGAATGGTGTATAAAAACCCCTATGATCCCAGGGGGACCTGATTTCTTTAGGTAGGGAGCTCCTGATTCTCAATTGAACAGCTTCATTTCCTCAAATGGAAGATTGCAAACATTATCCTATACCTCGCTTGGTAGCTTCCAGGATAATGGCCACGAGGTTAGTCTCATGGTCACAAATGAGGCTATCCACCTTGTGACTATGTCCCAGACCTACCGTCTGGCCTTCCTATATAATTTTTTCAGCTCCTTCTTAGTGTCTTAAAGCAATCTGGGCAAAAATTAAGTCACCCTCTTCCAAGTCAGGAAATTGTATTTGGCCAATTATACCTGGTAATTTGCCATATGTCATTGTAGGGAAGCCAACAGTAGGCTTTTTGCCTGATCAGATCCAATGTTTTGGGCTTTTTGTCATCAGGAGTTCCTCTCACTAACCTGGAATTTTCAGATACAGTTGTGAGTCACAGTTTAGGTGGATGTTTCATCACCCTTTTGGAGGGTGGCTGAATGGTGACCAGCTATTACCAAAGGACTGTGGGCATTTGTTGGTAAAGGTTCCCAAAAGTAGAAGATCTCAATGGCAGCTCAACTGATCTGATGACTGTGGTATTGGAGAAGGAGGAAGGTGTATTCTCTCCCCAAAGTGGTTACTACTAAATAAACTGGTCTAGGTTTGTTCCCAGACAGGACTTGTTACCTGCTCGGTGAGCCATTTGTACACACACCGCAACCTTCTTATGCTCCTCCAGACAAAGACCTGTGATCTTACGGGACAGCATCCCTCCATCAGAACGGATGAACTGACTCAGCAATAAGACATCCTAAAGATGAAAGGAGAGAAGGGCAGAATGATCAGTGCCAGTGGCTACTATTCTTTAATGCTAACGCTGCTCTTGTGCAAGGTTCAAAATGATGCCTTCCAGTGCTACCTTGCTTTTTTTTTTTAATCAACAGTGAACTTCACTTGCCATTGTGTTGCCTGTTGGCTTTGTTTTGTTAGGTCCATGAAGTTCAGAAACTTTTATAGGTGTAAACCATTATATCATCTTCCATTTTTGCCATCTATTTGTTGCTGTTTTCCGACTAAGTACTGAATACAATCTGTAGAACACCTATATATACACACACACCTTTACAAAACATGCAGGAAGATGATATTTTACACAATGTTTTTGATTGAGCGGAGAGCTGATTTTTAGCTCATCCAGAGCTGTGTTCTTACAGATCACAGATGTCAGGGTTCACATATTAGGCCACATCTGGGTTGTCTCCTGTAAACTGAGTGCAGGATTGTCCTTTACTGTCTATTCCTCAAGTTTTTATCCAACTTCCCAAGATGGAGATGCTGTCATGTCCCTTTGGGGGAAGCAAAGGAGGATTAGCCCAAAATCTTGTCAACAGTAAGAGAACTGTACTGTAATTGTGGAAGACCTAATAGAACAAACTTTCAGCCCTTTGGCTGCACACGAATTAGAAGGGCTTGTCAGAATAGTGACAAGGGAAGTCTTATTTCTGGGGAGTCCCGAGAGCAGATTGTGTGTTCAGTCAGGGTTCAGAGATTTTTGTAGATTTCCCTGCAGTTGACCTTTCAGATTGAAGTACATCGCATTATTTATAATATCGCCAAGATCAGAAGACACCACATAACAGGGATGACGGAGTTTTAGACACAGCAGCAGCTGCCGCACTGGGGTCCTTAATGTGTGCAAAGGGCATGGCCTAGCATTCACATGTATGCTTTCCATTTCCACACACAGAACAACAAATGCCAGCACGCCCCCTCAGACCAACACACCCCCGTGACATGCTGATATCATATGTTATCCCCTGGGTCCACTAGGGATGATGGGCTTGTTTTTCCTAATCTGCTGACAGTTTCCCCAATGTCAGACTCACTAAGTTAGCTGGGAGTTTATTTCTCTGTTGCTGCTGTAAACATTTCCATATTTTGGGTGGAAGAAGCATGGCATATGGCTCACACTCTGGAAGAGACCTGTCAGCAGGCATTCCCCATGATGAGCATGAGAAAAATCAGGGGCAGGTGGAAGAAAAACACATCCCCATACCTGCTGATGCAGACAAACTAGACCTCAGTTATGGGCTGAGCCAATGCAAAAGCCAGCTGATAGAGTTAATTTCCCTAAAGGGGATTCTGCTCCAAATGCCCAAGGTGCAAAAACTTTCCTAACTGCTTTAAGTAGTCTGTTTTCTTGTTCCTTGGTGCATGCACAACAAAGAGGTAGGGGGAAGGGCCAAGGAGAGGGAAGGAAGTTAATGGTAATTTATAGGTTGTTGCAGCATTTGCAGCAGTGAATATCCTAAGTAGGCCACAGCCCTACATACCTACGTGGCATGGTATAAGTACAAGACAGCGCTGTACCTAGGGTATGTTTGGTCCAAGAGTTCTCATCTTACTGCCACACCCTGTGGTGTCACAGGGTTGATACCAAATGTTTCCATGCAAAGATAGAAAAAAAAAGGAGGGGGAAGACTGGATGCTCTGTATCTATTTGTGCTGCCAATCAGGAGAGCTCATGCTCCAGTGTTAATCCTGCCCAATTCTGTCAGTAACAATCAGCTTCTCGCTTGTGATGATTATTTCATCACTAAAATCACCTACATCCCACCAATTTCTGCCTTACAAATTATGCTCAAGGTCATTTGGCTTGAAGTGCTGCACATGGGTGAGAATTGTACAATCAGTTCAGGAGGGTCCCAAGTGTAGCATGCGAGGTGCCTCTGCCAGAATCCTTACTCAGATGCGTCTCACCCCTAAGGAGAGGGTAGACAGTGACAGCCAACTTTGAGGGGGGGGGGGGGGG